CCTAAGAGGCTATTTTGCCGGAGCCGGAAAAATAGCCTCTGCCTTAAAAAAATCCTTCTCTACCTTTTTATCCCACCAGAAAATCAAATGGTTGTCCCCTAACACCAACATGACTAAAACATATTCATATACAAATGTGGTCATTGCCAATGTGACACCTCTTCAACAGAGACCAAAGACGTAGAGTTAACAACTATAGGTTACCGTACAGACTTCAACAATTGGCTAAAACCCATACTGCATAGTAAGCTATAAAAGGACAAAATAGATGATAGACAATATCTGACAAGGATAGAAATGTTCAGAATGTTGAAATCTTTCTACTGTCAATTTGCACCAAAACTGGCAGCTCATAGAAGTTGTTGCCTTAAATAAAGATTTTTTTCAATTTTGTTTTCTTCATATTTCATGTATTTGCCTTTTTTATCTTGAAAAATATAATATCTAAAGAGAAACTTTTAAATCTTATTAAAAAGTAATTGCTGTTCAATGATGATTTTGATCCAGTTTTTGCAAAAACGTAGAAATTTTAAATCTTAGGTCTACTCCTTGTATACAGCCTTGAGTGCAGAAGGTCTTTGGTTCGAACCTCAGCCGGGTGAAACCAAAGACTTTAAAATTGGTATTTGCTGCTTCTCCGCTAAGCACACGGTATTAAGGAGTAAGAGCAAAGACTGGTCGGCTCGGAGTCAGAATAATGTGTCCAGGTAGGATGACATGTCTCCCTGCGGACTGTTACCTTGTGAACTAGTGTAACAGATAAATTAGTCCTGGTTAAAAATCGTCCGGGCGGACAAATATAACTAGTATAAAAAGTCAATGGTTACAGAATTTACTAGTATATTTAGTCCGATGTCAGTAATTTATTTTTTATCAGATATTATAAGCATATGTCTACTTTTTGGTGTATGGAATGACTGCACGGTGTCATATAAAAATTTGATATGCAAAGCAGAAAAAACAGCTAACAAAAACACAGACCGGACGTGGCTGGAAATGTATTCTTTACCTATAACAAAAAAGACACAAATTGAAAATACAGATCTGTTGCTACTCAGTTACTTACAGCTACTTCAAAGCAAATTACTACTTATAAAAAAACATGTTGTGAGCACTCAACCCACCCCCAACCTGGGACAGTGGTTTTAATAACAGTAAAACATTTGAACAAACTGTAAACATTTGTTGCAATTGGCTCAATTCAAAAGATTGCAACAAGGCACACAAACAACTAATATATAAACAATAGACACAAAGCACTGACATAACAGTACTCACAATTAATATTCAAATGAAAGTTTATCAAAATGTTCATAAACATGATAACATAGCCTTTTTTATTGCTGTATTTCTCTCCATTTATATCAATTTTTGAGATTTGTGTTTTTACAGGTCAGACATTTTGGTTTTCATGATCATCAACAGGTCAAAACGGAAGACGAAACTTAATATTAAAATTGAAAGAGTTGGTATTACTTAGTTTCATTAAAAAGAATGGCGAACGTAGATACAAGTATCTTGTCTTGGGGAGGGATAAATCCTACTTAGTAAAGAATCACTGTGATTCAAACAAAAAATTCAATGAAACTGACATTATCAAGATGCTTGATTTCTTGATTGACAACATATTTGTTACGTTTGGAGGTCGTGTTTTTCAACAGACTGTCGGAATTCCAATGGGAACCAATTGTGCCCCTCTTTTTGCCGACTTGTTTCTTTATTATTATGAGGCTGACTTCATACAGGAACTTCTTAGGAAGAAAGATAAGAAGTTAGCAATATCCTTTAACTTTACGTTCCACTATATAGATAATGTTCTCTCACTAAATAATACAAAACTTGGTGACTATGTTGAACGAATCTATCCCATCGAACTAGAGATAAAGGATACTACAGATACAGTTAAGTCTGCCTCATATCTTGACTTGCATCTAGAAATTGACAATGAGGGTCGGTTGAAAACAAAACTTTACGACAAAAGAGATGATTTCAGCTTCCCAATTGTGAACTTTCCATTTCTATGTAGCAACATTCCAGCAGCGCCTGCATACGGAGTATATATCTCCCAATTGATACGATATTCCCGGGCTTGTATTTCCTATCATGATTTCCTTGATAGAGGATTGCTGCTCACAAGGAAGCTATTAAACCAAGAGTTCAAAATGGTGAAGTTGAAATCATCCCTTCGTAAATTTTACGGACGCCATCACGAGTTGGTTGACCATTATGGAATAACCGTTTCACAGATGATATCGGATATGTTCCTTATGTAGTAACTACAATACCCTTCCCTTTTCACGAATGTGACCTACCGAATTAGACTATTTACCGGATTTGTAATAACATAAGCAACACGACGGGTGCCACATGTGGAGCAGGATCTGCTTACCCCTCCGGAGCACATGAGATCACCCCCAGTTTTTGGTGGGGTTCGTGTTGCTTAGACTTTAGTTTTCTATGTTGTGTCATCTGTACTATTATTTGTCTGTTTGTCTTTTTATTTTTGGCCATATGGCGTTGTCAGTTTGTTTTCGATCTATGAGTTTGAATGTCCCTCTGGTATCTTTCGTCCCTCTTTTAAAGTTGATATTTTTCTACATTGTGTGCTTTTTTTATTAATGTGAAATGGAATGTGTTTTTTTCCTACACAAGCTTAAGAAATAGGACATTTCAACATAATGACTATAAACAAAAAGGAGTCTTATCATAGATGCACAAGAACATAATTGAGTAAATGCAACAACATAAATATTAATTGAAAGAAGGGACAAATGAAGAAAAAAAATGAGTATGTTGTTGTCCAAATGCACAATTGCTTTGTCCGCTCATTTACATCGCTCCATCCAATAAAGATGTACAGAGGAAGATCTTTGAAAAACAAATTGCAAAAATGTTTTCTCTAAGAATTGTAGGAATAATTCTAGTGGATGAAATAATTTATTTGCTTTACTGTTATATAGTGGATTGAATAATTGTACACAGCAAGCTGAAACAAGAAAACTAAAACTTAACATGAAAAGTGTTTATTTTATTAAATCTGCAAATATGAACATAATATTATGAACACCACAAATGGTATAAAATTCAAATCGGTTGAATATTCATGTATTGCAATGAGACAATAACAAAGAAAACTATACCTCGTGAAAAGAGTAAACTATAAACTCTGATTTGTCAATTTATTCAGTCAGAATATGAAAATTTTTTTTCAGTTCTAGTTTTTATAATGAAATAAACAAGACAAAGATTTCAAAACAATACTTTTTTCTTCTATGTAGACATATCATCATTTTATTTCAGTTAAAGGATTTTATTTGATTGACTTCGAATAGAATCCTTCAAACCTTTATATTATAGTTTAGTGACTAGCATTTCTAATACTGCATTAACTATTATATCATAAGATTATAACAGTTTACTACACATGTACCAAAAAGAATTCATTATAACAAACACATAATTGTATATTTATAATTTGAATCCCATGGGATTTTATTTTGTCCCATGCGATTTTAATTGTCCCATGAGATTTTATTTATCCAATGGGATTTTTTTCTGTCCCATGGGACTACAAAAATCCCATGGGATAGAAAAAAATTCAATGGGATTATGCAAAATCCCATTTATAATCCCATGTTTTTTAAATTCAAATTGCATGTAAACTTTATAGTCTAGAGCTTTAACACTTGGTATTTGATGAATCCCATTTTATTCTGCACATTTCGGTTATTTACATGACCCCGTATCATTAAGAAATGACGGCGGCGGATTTGCAAATGAGTGTTTTTCAAATTTCAAGTGTCCAGTGTTAGATGCTTAATTAGCATTCAAATATATGAGCAAGATGTGGACTAAATCTTAAAAGTATGAGCATAATGAGTGACCTAGTATTTGAACATAAGAGAGTATAAATCATGTGCTGAACAGCATAAAGTGTTGAATACATTAATATCTTAACAATGAACATGTATAAAAATGTTGAATTCTTTTATCTTTTTAATGATAAACCTGGCAGAGCACATATTGCGCTTCTAAAAACTTAAACTATATAAAACCTATTAACCCAAAAATAATCAATTCAGACAATGAGCATTGGTTTACAAATATTTTCTATAGTTCTATTTAAAAGGGGAAATTACTTTGTAGATGAATTATAGGAATAATCGAATTCGAGAGAAAACCTAGCTTTACGGAACTAAACGTGGTTATCCACTGGCAAATATTATGAATATAAAACAGTATCATGTGAAATGGGGAAACTAGCTTTAAAACATACATGCTTGCTTTTATCAAAAATTCATGACTCGTTATGATGATTTAGGGCTAAACGAGAGTACTAGTTTACAATAAATAATTACTAATAAAATATTAATTATGAACAAGCGATAAGTCAAATTATCATTTCCAACATGCGAGCGTAAAACAAATTTCTATAACGCGTTTAAAAATGCCCTTGAGTACAGAAAATTTGTGAACAATAAACGAACCCTTTTTATTACACATATTTACATCTATTTACACTTATTGAGAAACAACAATTTGATCTGAAATTCTTTACGTGCAGAACTCTTATAAATTTAACTTCAACTTTACTGGAAAAACAAAGGAAACTTTATGAAGTTTTTTACGATTCATTTGAATAACTAACGAAAGAAACACTAAAAGAAAAAATGATAAAACGAAGTATATAAACTTTGAATTACTAAAATACTTGACTCACCTGAAACAGTTTTAACAAACACAGTGAAATGGTTTTTACGATCTTCTTCCTTCAAAAGCGCATATGAAAGTGCCACTTTTGAGACCGAAATTCACTTGTTAATTTTCGCGTTACTGTTTCAGGTTCGACCAATCAGATTCGTTAAACACCCAAGCCACCTTAGTTACCCCGATATTTTGGGGTAAAAAGGGGCGTTGAAAGATCTTTGCTTGACAGAACAGTGAATGAAATAACAAATGAAAACAAAGTACCCTGTAAAAAATACACCTTTTTTTGACAGTAAATCTTGCTTTACATGGAACACCAGGACAGGAAACAACATACACAGACACAGCTGGTATTTCATACAATGCAAGCTTAGCTATAAAAGGACCTGCAAATAATAATTGGAAAGATGGATGTTCTTCTACAGCCGCTGGACAAGCGACACAATGGTGGGGGATGTCTTTCCCGAAATTAGTCTACATTACTAATATTAAATATTATTTAAGGAATGATAGTAAGTTTTGTATCTACAAACTGTTAGTTTTTTCAATCATTATTTATCCCCAAACATTATGTTTCTTTTTCTGAAATCCAACACCCTTACAATATCTTAATATATTTTAATCGTAAACTTGACCAAAGTGCCACGGGCCAGTATGAGCTATAATCATCACTTGGCATCTGCCGTCGTCTGTTGTATTAGTTGTAAATCGCAATCGTACTCGTCCGTCGACGTCATTCGTCTGTTAACTTTTACAAAAGTCTTCTCTTTTGAAACTTCTTTGCCAATTGAAACCAAACGTATCCACAATTGTCCTTGTGTTATTTAGTTATTAAGTTCAAAATATGTCTGATGATTCTGTCTACAAACCAAAATGGCCACCTAGGCTACAAATAGAACATCTTTGGAAACAATTGTTGACCTATTTAAAACTCTAATATCGGCAAATTTACCTTCCGGTGGATCGCATACGCCAACGTCATAAACAATAAAGGAAACTTGGTATTGCACAATATCATAATACAATCTCGTTTCAAACATTTTGTTGTTTATTCTAGTCGCAAATGTCTGTCTTGATCTATGAGCCTAAAACTATATTCATTTGTACAAATTACTATATTATTTAAGTCTTTAAATGTAAAGACATGGTAGCTTTATTGACTGCATACAATTGGATTTGTACCAAAATATTTGGTTATTATAAAATGTCTTTGTTAATTTTATAAAAGGGGAAAAATGCAAGTATCGTCTTTTATTTTGTAAACTAGTGTTAATTGGGAACATGATCAGAACGGAAAAATTTATATTCAGACGATCATTTTAGGAGCTATAGGTCTGCAGTAACGAATTTTACATTTTGTCTTAAGCGATGTTGGTTATTATCTGGAAAACTATCACATTATTACATTTTTAAATAAAGAGAAACTGTATGTGACAAAATGTTCAACAGATAAAGATTTATAAACACTTCAAACTGTTGAAATTATCAGTTGACTCTTCATATGAGTTATTGCTCTTTACTGACGATTTTTATCCATCTATGTGATTTGTTTCCTCGAAAATTATAGAAGATAGAAAGAAACTGTAATAGACGGTTCAACAGGACTAGATTTTACAAAAAATTGAGATGGTTGAAATAATAATTTTTCTCCTTTTAGGAGTTATTGCCTTTGAAGGACGATTTTAACTCATATTTGTGTTTTTATGCCGAAAATATAGAGAATAAAACGAAACTATTTAGAACACAAATTATCAGCAGGACAAAATAGACAAATAAATCGATGAAATTGTAAGTAAACATTTCTATCGATATTTGTCTTGATTCTTCTCTCTCCGGAAACTATGATAGTAGATGGAGAGACATTGTAACTAGCAAGATATCATCTCCAAATTAAGCAAAAGTTTGAACTATTCCGTGGACTCCTTCGTTGCTCTTGAATTACGATTTTTCTCTATTAAGGTGTATTTTGATGGAAACTATAATAGACAGAGAGAAACTTAAGATTTGCACTCAAAACAATAGAAGACAGAGAGAAACTGTAAAGAGCAAAAATGATAATCAGGACATGATCTAAAAATAAGTCTATTTGGCCGTAATCGTCATGCAGTTGACTGCTTAAATGAGTGATTGCTCTGGAGTGATAATTTAACCCATGTTTGAGGATGTTTGTTTTTGCAATCACTTGGCGTCCGTCGTCTGTCGTCGTCGTCCGTCGTCCGTTAATTTCTACCAAGATCATCTCCTCTGAAAGTACTGGGTAAAATTTGACCAAACCTGGACATGGTCACTAATGGGGTATCTTGTTTTAAACATGTGTTCCATGACTCTGCCTGCCGACAAACATGACCTAAATGGCTAAAATAAGGGAATAGGGGTAAATGCAATTGTTGTCTTTGTAGATAGAACTTAGAGGATAGAGAAAATCTGATGGAGCAACCATGTTCAGAATGATAATAGCTACATTTGTACTTACGTTCTATTTGATATCAAAACTGTCAGACGATTCCTTATAAGAGTTATGGACCTTAAACGGTGAATTTTCCAGTAAATAGTAGATGTAGATATCATAAACATGGAACATTGACATGTGTTTTCTAAAAGGTCCATTTCACTCCGCGTAGTTTCTGGGAAATTGAATGTGAGCAAACATATAAGACACAATTTAATTTAAAACATTATTACAGATTGATATCTGATAGATGCATGTCTTTTAAATATCTGAAGGATGTTATTCAATTATAGATTTATAATACTTTTTGGTTTTTGCAAGAGGTACAAATGTAAACAAACGTGACCTTAATTTCATACCCTCTTTGAATTGTTAAAACGCGACATGGACATTCCAAGCGAAATAAATAAATAGTGAACTTCATATGTTCATATCTAGACGATTATGCACAGAAAATCATTGATTCATGTTGTAATTTGTTTCTACAATTTTCCTGTATTACCCAACCAATTCGACAGTTTATGAAATACTTTTCATTGTTCCAAAGCAATACGCCTTTGTGGTCATATCCGTATCGGTTTTTTTTTCTTCTTGGGATGACATCATTCATCTGGTAGATGTGTCTTTTTTTTGTTGGTATCGGCATATACTAAGTTTTATTATACTAGTTTATTTGATTCTGTAATAGCTAGACATGCTTGATATAGAAAAGGGAACATGCAATCTTTGAACATTATAGTTAACTGCAACAGCGAATATCAATTATCGCATTTTTGTTCTCGTTGATGACATTATCGAAATCGAGTCATCACCGACTTCTGCTTACTTGAGCAACACGAGTGCCATATTTATTCACTACTATATTATTTGTTTTACAGAGGCACATCGCATGAATGGTTTCCGGTTGTACCTTGCAAATGACACTGTGTATTTAAAAACTGAACTGTGCTATGTAGATATAGGGAAACAGGCCTTCCGTAACCTGATTCAGAGTGTCGATTGTGATTTAAGCCCTACCAAGGATGTTTATTTCTTTAACAGAAAAACATTTGTCGAATTATGTTACATAGAAATATATGGTAACGTATTAACAAAACATAGTTTTTTTAGAACAGACGGGCGAACTGCATTTGTCACATTTAAGAAATACAAGTTACATTTGCATTAAAACGAATTGTTAACCTCTGAACTTTCAAAATACGAATGGTGCAGTAAAATTGGTACCGTTAATTTTATTTCATCTGGACTAACATAGTTCAATCTGACAACAGGTTAGTGACTTGCAGCGTGTTAATGTTCATGCATTCATATAAGGAGGTGGACTGTATACGTCAACGAAACAGAAACTCCTTCGACGAAAATATCATTAGACAACTTGGGGGAAACATACATACTTTAAAAGTTAAGAAGAATCAAACAATATATCAAGCTGTAAATCATCCTGGGTCTATTTGGTATCGACCAGACGTTAATCTAAAACCAGCTTTTGTTTTCAATTTTATATATACAGACACAAGAAAATATTATTTTAAAACTCAATATTTTTTTCCATAATTTTAAATGGAAACGAACTATATATTTCATTTCCCTCTTCAAAAAATTTTTTTTGAAGAAAATTTAGAATCATACAATTCATCCCCGAACCCACGACATATAAATGGTACAATACAGAGGTACATGTAAATGCGAAATACAATTATTTATAACTATAGATCAGTATATAGATTAGGTCAAGTTGAATTTATCTGGATATAGTTTTACTGGTCGTTCTATTTGTTCCCCTTTACTTTGGATGCCTTTTTTATTTACAGTTTACCGAATCCCTTCACAAAGGCGTTATACTTTAACTGTCTAATTTATTGTTTTTGTAAGTTTATGTTTGTATTTGTTACCATTATCTTTGTGGTGAACTCTACTCTACACATGACATTGTCACATAATTTAATTGAACAGATATTTTACATTTGGAAATAATTTTTCTAACGACCTTACTGTTTGGTGTTTTTATAAGGAGTCTCTTTGTCTCATAACTGATTACATTCGTTTATGTCTCTTCTTCCATTTTAGCTTTTCTCCGTACAAACTCTTTTTACATGTCTGATTTTCTACGTGTGGCCTCATGTTTCACTTCGGTTTTAAACTTGTAAACTACAGCAGTGTCATTCGAATGGCCTCCTGTCCTATTTCTACTTTTATCTCGATTTGCCTTCAAAAGCCAGTTCTTCTTGTTTAAGGATCAAGACTTGTTTATCAGCAAATACTTTCCGGTCGGATTAGGGACGTTAAGTCTGATGTCTCGTGTATGGAAGATGCTAAGTTCTATTCACATTAAATAACCATTTCTACAACATTGTAAAGGATCCAAGGCAACATTTTTGTCACTTTCACAAAACAACTCATCTCAATGGAAGTCTAAATTTTCAAAACTTCAACCCGGCCGAACAACACGGTTATAATTGTTTCATTTTTCTCGTGTTAATACATGCCTTCTTACATTCTCTCTCATAAATTTGTGCGAAAGACAAACATTTCTGATCTATCTAGATGGCTTAATAAGAAGCATGTCAAAACGTAGCATTGGTTTGCTCGTAGTATCTTAGTATTGTCTGTGCAATGCAACATTTAATAAAGATAACAACACATTACAAATATCTCCAAATTAACACACATCTGGCTATTCTACACTAAATCAATACAATATACTATAAATAGTATACTATGCAGAATGCCTTGTACTTAGAAATTACTGTGAACACCTCGATACATTCCAAACAAAAAGCATCGAACTAATATATGACTATATAACCCACCCGTAATAGCGCTAAAGAAATATCCGTGCTATACTAACACTTAAGACTTATAATTTTAAAAATACCATCAAACTAATTCTACAAACTAGTTCCACAGTAACTAAAGATATTAATAGAAAAGGAAAAATAACAAAAATAACAAAATACAAATAAAATAATATAACTGCTTCTGGACGTTCGGCAAAATAACAGTCAATCAGTCAATCAAGGTTGCATACAGACGGAAGAAAAAACATATTTGAATTTGGTTTGAATCAAATAGAGAGTCTTTCCGGTAGCATTAAGACATGTTTATTCTCACTTTCTCCATAAATGTGAGCGGTTTCTGTCTCATATAATATACACGAGTACTACGTATTATCAGTGTCCCCACTGTCTGTACCACTCTGCTCAGCAGCTCTTCTTAAAATTGCACATTACGACTTTGTGTCGTCAAATGCGTTAATCCGGCCTTAATAACTTTGACCCAGACATATCACCGACGTCATAATAAATGAACCGACGTTGATAAGTTTGAAACGGACTTATCTAGTCATTTTCCGGTTTGATTTGGAAACAAAGAAAAACACCTTTTTTATCAAATACATCCGATAAATCGATTATCAGATTTTCATCATATTTATATTGTAAAATGTCAGCTGCTCGACACAATATGAAGTCTCTTTGAACTCATTCGATGCTCTCACTCGACAAAAAGCTTCATAGTGTGACTCGCAGCTGATATTTTATAATATCAATATGTAAACAACCTAATAATAGGTACAGAAGTTTATGACTTATAATAATATACAATTGACATTTTTTTTGCGGTCTAAAACAGTTTAACCAATCTTTGTTAAAATTCTTTCTGTTTAACTAAAATGAGACATTTTGTTCATATCTACTAATTTCGGTTGAATACTTTTACCTCTTTCTCAGTTTACTCTTGCATTACGTGCTTTATTCGTGATAATTAACCAATGAAAGAGAACACGTGAAATTAATTAATGCCAAAAAGGATGAATTCAGAAAAAAGAAAAGTAAAAATTTAAGTAAAAGTCTAATAGCATTCGTTATGTCTACAACATAAACAACAATACAGTGTTACAAGCAGGATTTTCCCATTGGAAATTTGTCTGAGTATACAAGATTTAATTTCAAAATCATCCTTATAAATTTGTTTAAAATTGAAGGATGTTGGAAAGGTACCTGGGGAACCAATTGTACAACGGATTGTCCAGTTGAATGTATAGATAGACATTGTTATCCTGCAAATGGTTCCTGTATTTGGGGTTGTGATGTACAGAAGTGTTATCATGGAGTCTGTGATGCGAATACGGATGTTTGTTCGAAGGGATGTGTCGCGGGAGAAGGCGGCAGATACTGTACTTTCTGTAGGTATAATAAATTTAACAAATGTCACTTTCATAGATTGATTGATGTTTGTATTACATACATAGACAATTATTAAAGATATATTCAGGGTAGCAACTTAAACAAAGTATTCAGATACGTGAGTTCTTTATTGGAAGTCATCTGAGGGTGGAGGGATTCAAATGTGAACTACCACTGAATAGAGGACATGTTGGCTCAACCGTGATCGGGCAACAGAAAACCTTTTCCATAATTTTCAAATTATTATAAAATATTATAAAGTAACTGGATCACTATATTAAGATTCATTTTCATAAATTAAAATATATAAAAAAAGAAGAAAAAGACAAGGATATAATTATAATCGTTACATCGCCTGTTTTCACGCTTGATCAACCATTTCATTTGTTTGAGGCCTGTTGAGCTATTTGTTTAATAATGTTATACAAACGTCCATAGTGTCGTCTCAAAACTGGCAAAAATTGATATTTTTAATTGAAATTGAAGAATTCTATGTTATTCTATATACAAAACACTCTAACAAATAATGAAAAGCACCATCAATTACCCATATGCAGAAACAACCAATTATAATTAGCTAAATTAACTCGATAAAATCGGCATTTTTCTTAATCTGTTGGTTTCTTTAAGTTTGTTGTTTGCATTTTTAAACACATTATAGCACATGTCTTTAAACACTATATAACTGGAATTTCTTGATCATATTTTATTATTATCTATAAGAAGCATTCAATAAAAACAATCGACGTATTTTCTACCTACTGAAGACTAAAATTTAAATTAGGGTAAGATTAAATGTATTCGTTGAAAATTATGTTCCGTTTAAAAGTATCAGATTTTGTTTTCCGTGTTTTTGTTTAGTTCTTTTTTTTTTTTTTTTTTGTTACAAAACGCGTTTAAATGTTTATTCATAATTTATTTTTTTCATGGTTTCTGTTTTGCCGTTTTATAAACCACCGTACTTGTAAGCGATCGATTATTCCAATTTTTCAGCAATCAACCATTTTGCTTTTTGTAAGCAGAGTGTGTTGGGCTGGACACTTGCCATGTATGTCAAAATTCTCATTTCAAACATTACTTTCTTGAAATGTGTTTTTAAATGCCAAATTGAAAGTTATGCGAACATCAGCAAAGACAATCAAAATACCATTTCAATTTTGAGTGCTCATAAAATAGCTAGTCATATCTGTTTGATTAATTTTGAAATTCATTATTTTTAAAAACAAATGCATATGTTTTCTGATACAATCAGTTAGATTAGAATTTTGGTATACTTTCAATCCCAGATAATACGGTTTATAATGGAACTGCAAAACATAGCCTTTCTGGTCTTAGTTTACCCGCAACTGTATTAACCGATGGAAACACAACTTCATGCATCAACATAGAAACAACCAGTTCGAATTCATATATACAGATTGGAAATGAATCGTTAATTGTAATAACCGGGGTGTATCTTTTCTTTGGAGGTGAGTAAAATAATTTAATAGTATATACATGGTTTTGAAATACCACTAATTGTATTTTGATCATAATAAGTATACCTGTAGATTATATGATTTCTTATAGTTAGTATTTTGTAGAACACAGACATTTGTGTTTCGGGATAAACGAATGCTTCCCTCGTAAATAGGACTTCATATTTACCCGTAATGGTCGAATTTCTGTTTATCCTGATTTTGATTCCATGTACTTTAGATTGTCAACGATATACATCTTACACAACACAACATATTTAAGAAAACGTTTGAACATTTAAAAACAGAAATTTTTCAATCCACCATTTTCTACATTTGAAAATGCCTGTACCAAGACAGGAATATGACAGTTGTTGTCCATTCGTTTGATGTGTTTTATCATTTGATTTTGCCATTTGTTTAGGGACTTTCCGTTTTGAATTTTCCTCGGAGTTCAGTATTTTTGTGATTTACTTTTTATGGGGACATTTGAAATGTATTGAATTAGTGCATGGTTCAAAATAAAACATTATAGACTGTTTTTATGAGAATAATTTCAAACTTAATGATTTTTCAGTTTTTTTATGGTAGTGTTTTAATTTTTTGCCATTTTGTTTTTACTGTTTGATTGGTAAGTTATTGGGAATTGGGCTGGACTTCAAAAGGCAAAATGTGTCAAAAAGCTGATATTTCACAATATGAATGTGCTGAACTAGATATGTTGGGGCTCGTTTTCGAACGTATCATAAGTCCCTAACACATGTCATAATATATAGCGTTTGCTTTACGACTATCAAATAATCAGGATACGTCTTATACTGTTAATGAATTAAAGCTGCACATAAATAGTCATAATCAGGATTTCGGACGATTAGAATAGTTATATTTAAAGAGATATACAGGTTCTTATTGTTGAAATTAAGACATTCAGTTCCAAGTGGTGAAGTTAAAATCATCCCTTCGTAAATTTTACGGACGCCATCAAGAGTTGGTTGACCGTTACGGAATATCCGTTTCACAGATGAAAGCGGATATGTTCCTAATGTCGTAACTACAATCCCGTCCCTTTTCCTAAATGTGACCTACCGAATTAGACTTATTACCAGGTTTGTATTAACATGAGCAACACGACGGGTGCCAAATGTGGAGCAGGATCTGCTTACCCTTCCGGAGCAGCTGAGATTACCCTCAGTTTTTGGTGGGGTTCCTGTTGCGCAGTCTTTAGTTTTCTATTTTGTGTTTTGTGTACTATTGTGTCTGTTGGTCTTTTTCTTTTTTAACAATGACGTTGTCAGTTTTTTTCGACATATGAGTTTGAATGTCCGTTTGGTATCTTTCGCCCCTCTTTTAAATGTTGTACATATGCAGCGAAAGCAATTCTTTCAGGCAATCAATATTAACAACTCTTGAATAAGTGTGTGTATTGAACACTTTATCCCGAACTGTCTTCTAATTATAGACGAATGTAATATTTTTTTACGAGAAATTCATAGGAATACATCGAACGATAGCTATTTCAGAAGATTTTGCTGACAGTGCACAAAGTTTTATTAACATTTCAATATCAAGTAAATATGTAATAGTAATGTTTTAGTAAAATGTAGCAAACTACTGTACGAAATAATTAATAGAAATGCAGACGTTTCCTGTATTCGTTAGATTAATAGACATCAACCGATGACAAGAACCGACCTGTGCGAAACAAAAGTGACTGATTAATCTTTTCATTGACCAAAATATGTAAATAAATTAGTCAAATGGATATTGAGATTGAGATAACTTTTTTCAAAAAATGTTTGAAGTTGTTATCAAAGTTTCGGGAGATATAACACAATATGGTAAAAAGTGTATAATACTTTAAACAATGTTAAACAGTAACTCAATGTTTGATTGACTCTGAATCTAAGAATTAGCAATACTTACGTTACATCAATGATGTAAACTTAAAATACCACGTTTGAATCAACGAATACTATTTAATATTTCCTGGTAAATGAATACATCTAAAAAGGGAGCTTTTATGCAATACAACTAGTAAACTTAAATAGATTGCAAAATTTGTCAACATGTTTCTATCTCCAACCCTTTCTACATGTATACATAAAAAGTAAAATAACAAACACACCGAACTCCAAGGAAAATTTTAAACGGAAAGTCACTTATCAAATGGCAAAACCAAAAGCTCAAATACGTCAAACGAATGGAAACCAACTATCATATTCCCGACTTGGTACAGGCATTTCCTTATGTAGAAAATAGACGTTTCTATTTGTGCATTCTTATTTTGAACAGTTTTGTTATATAAGACTATATCTCATTTGCAGACAATACTACCACTGACGGTAAGCACGAAGTGTATTGTTCTAATACTACTGATACATGGATTGATGGTACAATGTTATACAATGCAGAGTATAATAACGAGGACATAGACGTATTTGCTGTTTGCAAATACATTTTTTATTTACCACCCATCCTGAATGAAAATACAAAGATAGATATATGTGAAATTGAAATTGGTGGTAAGTATATAACTGTAGAATTAAGTTAGTTATTTATCGATGTTATTTAACATGAAATAGAGAAACCCGATTATTATTACATGGCATTTTCCATATTGGCCCGGGTATCGGCCCTAGACTCCCATATCAAGCCAGAGGGCTTTAGCCCGAGGGCTTGATATGGGTCAAGGACTGATACCAGAGCCAATATGGAAAATGACATGTAATGATCTATTTATCACATATTTTCCAGCTGGAGAAAAAAGAAAGCATATATATTAAATTATGTTTAATAATTTCAACAAAAATTCAAATAACATTTGAAGAAAAAATCAAAAATAGGTATCACAGTGAGTTAATGATGGTGTTTTTGATTGACACGTTACCGGACGTGAAAGTCGGGGGCACGATATGGATTTTCTAGGGCTGATATCGCTATTGGCCCCGAGGACAAATAACTAACCTTAACTTCTGGCTATATTGGCCTTGCAAAAACGTACATATTAGTACAAAATGTGTGATAATATTCTGAATGCCATTCAAGTGTGGGTAAACAAATTTGATATCATAATATATCTTAAAAAAAGAGAGTCAACATATTTCAAAAGGAAATGAAAGTTTCATCCGTCAACGAAAACAGACAATACCGGGGACATAGAAAAATGACGAAGAGACAAGCAACAATCTATAAAAAAACAACACAAAATCTGACCCAACAAAACCAGAGTCGGTAGATCCCAGCTGTGTCACTCGTCATGTTGTTCATGACAAGAACAAATTCTATAATAGTCGCATGCAGTTATAGCTTGCTGTTCGGTGTGAGCCAATGCTCCGTGTTGAAGGCCGTACCTTGACCTATAATGGTTTACTTTTATAAAGTGTAACTTGGATGGAGAGTTGTCTCATTGGCACTCATACCACATCTTCCTATATCTAGTTATGTAATAATGAGGAAACCATGATGGAATTGTGTAGGAGAATTAGAACATATCCGTGATCATATGAACAATATTAAATGCAGAACAGAAAAGAAAACTATGACATGTCAGTTCAAAATAGAATTTGAAAGAAATGCTTACTTTGAAGGTATTTAAAACTTTTTAATTTTTGAACTATTTATGAACTATTTATAGACAATGAGAAAATTTTAAAAACAATTCTGATCAAGATCTCGTTTTACTTGCAGGATGTCCTTATGGGAAATACGGAGACAGTTGTAAATTAATTTGTCCAAAAAACTGTATGGGACTATGTGATTTAACTAGCGGAAATTGTATGCTCGGTTGCTTAGATGGTTGGCTTGGTGAAAAATGTGACATAGGTAAACCTTTGGTTTTTCTCAATTGTTGTATAAATGAAGCACATTGATAACCAATTAGTATATATGAACTAATACAAAAAGGCTTTGTATTGTGACATGCATCACTGCAATCTGTGCTGGGCATTATCAATTTGTCATCCTATATCTAGCAGAAGGCATACAATGTATAATATGCTTGTTTTTATAACCGACATGTTGATTTATCAAAAAGTGATAGTAATTGTTAATATTATGTCCCGTTTTTTCTGCCGTTGGGACACTTGCCCTGATGCAACTGTAACGTATGAATATATATATATTCATATTTTTGATTGAAGTAACAATCTATTCATAAATGGGTACATTTTGTCAAAAGAAAACCTTGAAGACAATATGGCGACATATATATAAAAAAATGTAATAACAAAATTAACGAACTAAATGGTAATGACAAAAAGGGGAACACAAAAAACTGACAAAACCAAACACTCGAGTATATCAACCAACCGTACGACTAGAATGCAACTGTCATATTCTTGATTTGGTGCATGCATTTTGCCAAGAAAATTATGGATAAAACCTGGTTTTACAGGTAGCAAGAAAGCGCACTTGTATGACAGTTGACGACGGTTCCGCTATATTGACAAAAAATAAAGCAAGCATCCCAAACATAAATAAATGGTTCATGTGACAATAATTGGGATCCGGCCGCAAAAATTAATTTCCGTGTTAATCGGAATCTGAAATAAGTAAATGAAATATTGAAAACTAACAAACAAAAACAATGGTAAAGAACTGTATATAAATCTAAATTCAGTCAGAATTGTGGCGTTAAATACGATTCCTCGTGTAAAAAAAGCCTTACGCTCTCTGCACTTTAACTTATCTTTCAAGAACTCTTTGAAAAGTTTGGTGTAAAATCGAAGTGTAAAATTTTGGCAAATGATCTGTAGAGCCATTCAGTCCCCTCTGACAGATTAAAAGAAGGGCCGTTATAAAGGACAAATTGAAAACTGCTTTAGCAAGGCATCGATGGTATCTAGTGGTAAATTTACAGGAGACCGACCTTGCGTACTTATTGCATGTAAAACACTTACACTCCATATAGACCGATCAACAAATCCCAATGATAATGACGCCTTCTTGCACATAATATTCGGTTGTTATCGGAAATTGTAAGAAAAGAGTTATGTTGTTGAAATCAGGGATCAGTTGACTGTCATGACAATTATTCGTTTCGAATGTCCGGTGTTTTCATATTTTGATTTACATATGAGACTAAGCGTAAGTCTTACTACCTGTACGACTTGTGATGTTGAAATCGTAGTCTTCACTTTCCGTTTTTTTTTTGTAATATTTGATCCCTTCACAAAATAACAAAAATCTATCAATCATATTTTAAGTTACAGCAAATGGAGTCATATGAGGCTTACAAAGTATCCATGCTTACTTGTCCTCTTAATTCCTACGTTACCTTTCGTTGAAAATATTATCAACAAAAAAAAACATGCATCAAGACATTGTAAAAAAAACTGTATTCTTTTAAAGGCAACAGTAGTATACCGCTGTTCGAACCTCATAAATCGATAGAGATAAAAACAAATCCGGGTTACAAACTAAAACTGAGGGAAACGCATCAAATATAAGAGGAGAACAACGACACAACAAAAACACAACATTAAAATGTAACACACACAGAAACGAACTATAATATAACAATGGCCATTTTCCTGACTTGGTACAGGACATTTTAAGAAAAAAAAAATGGTGGGTTGAACCTGGTTTTGTGGCATGCCAAACCTCCCGCTTTTGTAGCAACGTCAAACACAACACCAAAACGACAACATCACACGACAGGACCACAATACAAATAAATGGGAGAACATATAGGACAAAGAAACACACGAATAATAGCTAGCAGAGGGTACTAGGCTTAAAATTCAATACGCCAGACGTGCGTCTCGTCCACAAAAGACCATTAGAGTGTTTTGATAAACATGGGTTTGAAGTATTGCATGCACTTTCATCCACTAGGCAGAATGATAAATTTATATCTACATTCAATGAAAAAAACTTATTCATTAGTTACTGCTATTTTTAACTATATATAAAAAACAAACAGTACACTCTATTTGGATGATATCGGAATATCTTATTTTATGGGTAATAGTTTCCAATCGACTTTGCTTTAAAGGAATCTTCAACGCATATTATAATTTATTTAATTTTGTAGACTTAGCATAGTTTAGAATAATTACGGAATCATTGAATATAGAAGAAAATAATAGTTCGTAATCGTGAACACAAAGGTGTGTTTTTTACTGATAATAGCAGAATGTAGGAAATAATCTATTATGCAAACTATTTCTTTCATATAACAGCCTGTGATGAAGGTAAATTCGGTAGTCAGTGTCTGCGTGACTGCTCATCAAACTGTTTATCATCACCCTGTGATCCTGTGACGGGACAATGTAAAGCAGGCTGCATGAAAGGATTGGAAGGATTCAATTGCACAGACGGTTTGCTTATTTTAATTTAAATGATGACAACATTTGTATTTCTATTTATCTTTGTGGATTGAATCATATTGCCTGTTATTAAAACGACTAACATGGTCGTGTCCTTTTGGTTTCGTAGAGGAAAGTATATTTGAGATGTAAAAGAATATGATTTACACCCCAGTTCTATTGTTATACTTCATAGTTTCTATTTCTGAAACAAGTGTAAATTGAATAGATCTATTGTTACGAATAACAATGGATTTTGACCACAGGGTGTGACGAGCGGGGTTTCTGGAAACCCCTGCTTCTACATCCCGCAAAAAAAAGTCCATTGTTATTCGTAACAATAGAAATTGATTATGTTTTAAATAGCATGAACATAAGAAATTACTAATAGTGTTCACTACAAATTGTTTCATGATATTAAAAAAAAACACATTTTAGGAAATAACAATAAGCATCTATATGGAATACAAAAATAATCCTTTAAATACTCTTTTGCTTGAAGGTAATTTTTTTTTATCCCAGTCATATGTCTCTATTCTAAAGCATTGATCTTTAAAAAAAAATGGGGATTCTAACTCCCGGAACCCCTTGGTAACCCAGTGGCCTATCCGGGGTTGGGGGTTCAGCGGGTTGAACCCGACTTTTATTTAAAAGATAAATGCACTGGAATGGTCGGACCCCCCTTTTTCTTTTGAGTTGGGAACCCCGGCTGGATCAGCCCCTGATTGCCCCAAAAAAGGGAGTTCCTCTATATTAAATAGTGTATGTTGAGCGTGTCTGGTAGTCGGGTTTCTAATGCAGACACACCTATTCCTTAGTATGTTCGAATATGAATGTTTGTTTATTCTCGAGAAGAGGGGGGGGGGGGGGCTTTTGTTTTTGATAAAATCGTAAGATATAAAATACAGTTAGGATTACCTTTATTAAACTGATACAGGTAAGTACTTTGGGTTATAATATTGCCTTTATCTTTAGTCTCTTCTACCAAATCAAACGCTTGCCACAAAATGTCGTCCGTCTTATACCCGTCCATATTGACAACTGTATACCAGGTCATGATGTATTTTTTGTTTGTAATAAGAATACACGAAACAGTCAACCTTGACCTGCTGATCCATATTAGCACATGAATTTAACGGGAATATGCAAAACAACTTGACATTTGTAAAATATACTCACTTGTCAAAGTTTGAATGAAGATAACCAAAGAAAGGTTACTAGTGGGGTTTTATGTAATTAAAAAAAAATATACTTATAAATCATGATTTGATATTGTCAATAAATATGCTATCGTTTTTTTTTTCTTTTAATAATCAATGTTAACAAATATAGGGTTTAGAATGGGGTGTAAGTTAGTTATACACCGAGGGATACGGCGTGTCTGGATAAAAAACCACTCCGGCCTCCGGCCGACGGGGTTTTTTATCCAGACACACCTATCCCTCGGTGTATAACTATTACTTAAACCATTGTCGTGACGTCAGCCTATTCATTTACCGTGGATTCTTTTTCTAAAATCAACGCTTCCTAAATCTGTTGCTGAAATAGATTCACCCAATTATATTCAATTGTTTCCTTTGTGTGCCTAATTTCATTAAGTTTGAATTGGCTAATCTACTGATTTCTGCTCACTAATGGAATTAATTTAAAAACTTACCTTTAATTTTTGTAATTTTTATATGCCTTCACTAGGAATCGAACCTGTCCTTTGAATCTGTTATGTGCGACTGGCAACAACATATCGACGAAATCTTTCGGCTACCAATGGGTTACAATTAAAATGTCCATTTTATATATATATATATATATATAAATAAACATATGATAAACATCGGTACAACGGACACACATGGCTTGTACCTTTATATATACATAATAGGCAATCGTATAGTATAAGTTGGTAGCCGCGAGGTTAGCATGGGTGAAATCAATGAGTTAAAGAGTCAAGTTTTAGGTAAGGACTTGTCGGTTTAGGTTCGAATCTCTGTATTCTCTTTTATGTCCCTATTTTTAAGTTTTTTTTGTTTTTTTTTTTTGTTTTTTTTTCTTCTTATTTTGTATGTAATTTTGGATATCTTTTTAATAATAGCGAGTTTTACCGTTTATTTTTGGATTATTATTGGCTATTTCAGATATTTGAAACGAAAATGATTACATTCAACTTGTCCTTTTTTGTTTTATAAATATAGTATGATCTCATCTGTTTTACTACATAATATTACAAATGTTTATTCGCAAATTCCTATGTGAGTAAATCGTGATGTGCCTAGAATTAAGCCTCTCAATAGAAATTGCGGGAACATAATTATTTTATATACTTTATATATGCTCTTTGGTCAGATTGTTGTCTCTTTGACACATTCTTCATTTCCATTCTCAATTTTATTAGAAATAAGTTCGAATATGTCTTATTTTGTAAACAGAGGTAATATTCAGATGCCTGATAATTTAAAGGCAGACGTGTTGTGTTATAATTGTATTTTTCTAACCAATTAGTTGTGATCTTAGATTTATTAATGCATCGTTGAACATAATAACATGGTTACTTATACTCACTGACAATACCTTCTAATTAAGAAAAGGCTTTAATTTTGAAAAGACATTAGCACAATAGTTTAAGTTATAGATACAACGGATAAGCGTTTATTCTTGAAAAACAAACCACCCCCCCCCCCCCCCCCCCCGGGCTCATGGTTTCTTTTTCGTGAATCAACGCTTATCCATTGTATCTATATTACAGATCTGATAAAGTAAAATAAGCTACTTATGTAATAATTTTATGTTTGATGTATTACACAAACCTTCTATTTTGATAAACAAAATATGACACAGTTTTGCATGCACAACATTGTCTTTGTTATGCGCTGTAATAATATATCAAAAGCTAAAAAAAAGAAAACGACGGCGACATCGAAGGTTGCATTCATTATTTTTCGAATATCCTAACTATTGTATCCCAACAATCCCCCAAAAATGGCCAGAACTTTTTATGGCGAGACTTAACATTGTGCGCTAGTTACTGATCTGACAATTACTTATTTTAATATTTTTACTCATTGTTTACCCGGGATATGAAACTAAATGATTTAGTTTGTAAAAAAAAAGTTCAAACAAAATAAAAGTTTTAAAGATTTTTCAATCTATACTAAAATTCAAAGCATTACAGTTTAATGTATGTACTGTGGACTTATTTATTAACCTTAAGTAAAGGCAACAGTAGTATGCCGCTATTCGAAATTCATAAATCGATTGAGAAAAAAAACAAATCCGGGTTACAAACTAAAACTGAGGGAAACACATCAAATATAAGAGGAGAACAACGACACAACAGAAACACAACACTAAAATGCAACACACACAGAAACGAACCTTAATTCTCTCCGCGCCAGAAGTCGCATAAGGCCACCACGCTGAATTTGGGTTTCTTCAGCGTTTTTGGTTTCTGTAATAAGCTCTTTTTTTACCGAGTTGGGTTGTTAGCCCAACGTCAAACCTCCACTCTGGCGGGCCGGGTTTTCTTTCTTGGTAGTCCTTTCCGTAGATGAATGCATAACCATGCGAACGGATTGCATCTGTCCAGATTTTTTTCTGGGTTATCTCACAGAGCACTTGACTTTTCACGGTCACCAATATAGCAGTGGGACTATTTACCAATAGCTGGGGTTGGTTTGAAGGCACCAGGGCATATCCACTCATCGGTTGACCTAGCATTCATTGAAAAACTTACGCACTCGGCTCTCCTTTTCACAGCAAGCTGCTAGCCAGTATTGAATGCTGAAAGCGAGAGTGACTAGCACAGACACTTCAACACACATTCAGGTTCGAATCACACAGTCATTTGACAGACTTATTACCAAACATATATCCGATTTGCTTATTGATGACAAACAATTAAGAATATCAAAATCAGAACATGTCAAGCGAAACCCAAAATTTGATATAGATAAACGCTTTTAAGTTTTAAGTTTCAAATATCATGTTAAAATAGTCTACAACGGCATCGTAAGACCAAATTTAACAATTTGAGATCTATGAAATTGTTTTAAGTACTTTATTTAATGTCTTATATATGCAAATTCCATTATGTTCATACAGTTTATGTAAGTAAAACAAGTGTAGGATACACTAACTTTACCTAAGTTTAACACTGATGTAGCTTTCCTCTAAAAGGAAAAGTCATCTAGCTGTTTGTGCAAAAACAATTTGATATGTTTGATAGAAAAAAGTTTTACATGTTGTAGTCAGTAGTTTTTTGGTATAACATATTTCGGAAATTTATAAACAATGTATTCGTAATGATATTTTAAATGCAGGTCAGGTAATTTACTAACAGATTTGCGTAAAATAAGGTGTTGATGCTTCTTTTTTTTTATTAAATAACTATAATATGTCTTCCTTTTTGCAGATGCATTCGGATTTGATAAAGTTTTACATTCTCCTTCATTTAACCTTCTTTTCTTGCGATTGAACTGATTTTGAATATCTGTTATCAATTTTATATTATCTGCAATTGATACTATCGAATTTTGATTTGACTGTAAAGGTCTTCAAAATAATCAAACTTTAATATTATCACCATGTTCAGAAGTGACCAAAGAGATCAGTGATAGTCTCTTAGTAGAATCCCTGAGATAATACTATATATACACGACATGTTTATTGCATCGGCTGAAAAAATAGTCGTGCCACTCTGTACATTTAAATTATTATTAAAATTCAGAATGGAAATAGGGAATGTGTCAAAGAGACAACAACCCGACCATAGAGCAGACAACAGCCGAGGGCCACCAATGGGTCTTCAATGCAGCGAGAAACTCCCGCACCCGGAGGCGTCCTTCAGCAGGCCCCTACACAAATATGTATACTAGTCCAGTGATAATGGACGTCATACTAAACTCCAAATTATACACAAGACTCTAAAATTAAAAATGATACAAGACTTACAAAGGCCAGAGGCTCCTGACTTGGGACAGGCGCAAAAATGCGGCGGGGTTATACATGTTTTTTAAGATCTCAACCCTGCCACTATACCTCTAGCCAATGTAGAAAAAACAAACGTACAGCAGTACGCACAGTAAAACTCAGTTTAAGAGAAGTCCGAGTCCGATATCAGAATAGGAAACAACAGAAAATAAACAAAATGACAATAATATATAAATAACAACAGACTACTAGCAGTTACTGACATGCCAGCTCCAGACCTCAATTAAACTGATTGAAAGATTATGTCTTCATCATATGAATATCAGGCACAATCCCTCCTGTTAGGGGTTTAGTATTATACCATCATAAAATATATGAGAAGAACATAACCCGTGTCATGCCAACAACTGGTTTTAGAATAAATATGTTTAATTCCGATGCAAAGACCCTTTAAGTGAATCAATATTAAAGCCAAAATATGCAATCTTTAATGAACTGACAACAGTGTCGTAACTATATCCCTTCTTAATAAGTCTGTTTAAAGGTTTTGTTAGCTTTTGAGGTGAATACTGACATTTTTGTGCTTTGTAAAGAATATTACCATAAAAGATTGGATGTGAAATACCCGAACGTATAAGATGTCTGCATGTTGAGTTATATTTACGAATGATGTCCTCATACCGATGATAAAATTTAGTAAATGTTTTGACTAGTTTATGATATCGAAAACCCTGGTGTAATAATTTTTCAGTGATACATAAATTTCTCTCGCTAAAATCTAATACGTTGTTACATACACGAGCGAATCGTACAAGTTGAGATATATTGTCTGTTTCAGAGTGTAGTAATGGATACTTTGGTTGGAATTGTTCAGAAACATGTAATGGATGCATAGCAGATGAATGTAACCATATCAATGGAGTCTGCATAAATGACAGTATTTGTAAACCTGGCTACGTGTATGGAAAATACTGTAATCAAAGTACGTTTCACTGGTTTGATAAACAACAAATACATAACAATGTTCATGTACAACATGGCTATTTAATATAGTTTTACAAGTCATAGTTATGTTTGCCATGTCTCATATACTTTTCAGAATGGTTTTCCAGTTTGGGTGTTTGTCTGTTCACCCTGATGTTCGTTTAACCTCAGTCAGTGTGTCTTTCCATAGTATACTTATTCATTATGATCTGAGCGTTTTCAAATTTGTGCTAGATAAGGGGTTTAACCCAGATTTCATGATTCAATTGAAAGGTGATAGTGTGAAATAAGTGCAATCTCTGAATTAAGTTTTCATTTTTACGTAATTTACTATGAAGACAGTTAACTATGAAGTCAACTTTGAACATAACACGCGTGTTCATATTGATATGAAATTTTATAACATTTGGGTTTTGTAATCAAATATCAGTTTGTGATGGGTTTATCATAGTTTGTATGTTAGAATTGGATTTACGAGTTTTTAACATCGGAATACTACTGTCGATCTGGCTTTAAACTATATTTTATTGTCCACTGAACATTGATTGTGTTGAATGTTGAATTGCAATGGTTTTTTTTTAATTCTTCATATTATGTTTCACATATTAAATATATCTTTTTTGATCGAACACATTATTTTAATGTATAATATTGTCTTATATTAGTTCATTATCTGTATATGATTGCTTTGTCAACTTGTTCCTTTGAAGCATGTGAAGATTGGCATTTTGGAACTAATTGTAATAAGATGTGTAACTGTCTTAACATATCATGCAATACATTTACTGGCAAGTGTCCAGAAGGCGGCTGCAAAAAAGGATGGCGTGGTGATTCATGCGATCAAGGTAAAGAAACATGATTTTCCATTGTTTGTAATATTTTTATTTATGTTATTGCGTTGCATTTGTTAATTAGCAGTCCTATGGATACCATATGCACACTACTTCTTGCAGACTTGTTTCTTTAGTCATACGAGTCTGACACAATACACGAGCCTTTCAGGAGGAAAGACAAGAAGCTTATATAATTCTTTAACATCACGTTCCGCTATATGGATCATATCAACTTATTATAGAGTTCACAGGTTGGTAAATTCGTTAATTTTACGGACGTCATCACGAGTTGGTTGACCGTTATGGAATATCTGTTTCACAGATGATAGCGGATATGTTCCAAATGTCGTAACTACTATCCCGTCCCCTTTTCCCCGAATGTGACCTACTGATTTAGACTTATAACCGGGTTTTTACTAACATGAGCAACACGACGGGTGCCACATATGGAGCAAGATCTGCTTACCCGTCTGGAGAACCTGAGATCAACCCCAGTTTTTTGGTGGGGTTCGTGTTGCTCAGTATCTTGTTTTCTATGTTGTGTTTTGTGTACTATTGTTTGTCTGTTGGCTTTTTCTTTTTTTAAGCCATGACGTTGTCTGTTTATTTTCGGCTTGTGAGTTTGAATGTCTCTTTGGTATGTTTCGCCTCTCTTTGGTAACTATGTTAAATGCATCTTTCATAGTGAACGTGAAAAATAATACAAACGATGCAGTAAAATCTGTGACATATCGTTCTTACGCCGAGAAATTGACAATCGAGTCGGTTGATAACTACGCTTTACTTGTTTTCATTTCAAAATTCCATTTTGGTCAAATTTAGAGGTAGAGAATTACCTTGTATTTGTGATTAATGAATTGGAGATAACTTAGATAAGACCAAAGACATTTGACCGATCTCCTATTACATAATGCATGATCAACTCAAAGGACTCATGAACGTATCATGAGTAACAGAGCAGGTGGAACTTGTGGAGCGTAGTGTTTTTCAGACTGTTGTTTTTTCGTTGTATTTCTCTTTGACGACCATGGTATTGTCCATGTTGTCTGTTACTCTTCAACTTATGATTTGGTATTGTCTTCTTGGTAACAGATGCCTTATTTTGACTTTCCACTGGAGGTTAATGTTCAGCTACCGACTGTTGTGAAATAAAATAATAGATAATCTTTATTAATTCAAAAGTTGCATCGGCGATTTCCTATTAAAACAATGACTGAAATGTTGCAGTAAATATAAACGTAAGATGATATGTTATGATTGCAAACTCGACAATTATTCATTAGAACGCAATGAATGAGGATGTTAACAACTACAGGGCATTGTACGGACTTAAACAATTAGCAAAGCCCATAGCGTTAAGTAAGCTACAAGAGACCCCAGCATGACAAAATGTGAAAAAATGAGTATCATTGTTAACATCATAATTGTGATCTTTCATTATGAACATCGCTTATATACACGTCATTGGAATGCTGGTGGAAAGTTGTCCCATAGGCGATCGTACCACGTCTCTTTAGTTTTATAATCATACACGATGTTCAAATTTTATGATACATCACAGTGATTTCATAAGAATTAACGTCATCGCGATCGCTCATCGAACCCATTTGTCAAAATTGATAAAGTAATAATAATGCAGCCCATAACAAACACATGAAGCAATGTCATTGTTGTAACTGAATGCTAAGTTGCTCATACCGAACAAAATGATAGTCAGTATAATATTTCAGAATGTACCCACGGTTATTTTGGTTTCAACTGCATACAGTTTTGTGGAACATGTTATAACAATTCATGTAATAAATTGAATGGCAGTTGTGAAGCTGGATGTAAAGGTGGATTTATTGGTTCTCTCTGTGCATTTAAAGGTGAGTGGTGATATGTTTATACTTCGTATATATTAAAGGACACATGGGTTTATGTAAGTAAGACAATATAGCATATAAGTGACACAAAAATCAAAACTACATGTACTATTTACATTCTGTTTTTTTAAACAGGCTCTCATAAAAAAAAATTCTAAACGCATATTCAGATTACTAAAAATACCAGGAATCGACATACGAATCGAAACATTATGATGCAATTTGGTCGCATACCGTTGTTTTACTGATTTAGAGGTTTGTAGTACTAAGAAGATTCTTTTAAATTAATAAAATAGTAAAATTTAAACATTGATCATGTTGATACTTAAATAGATTTTTATTACACGATAAACCATTGGTTCATTTTTATTAATGCAAATCTTAATACAAATACGTTGTAAAATAAGTAAAGTGGTTGCTCAGTCTTTAGTATGCTTTTTGTCATCCGATATTCGTGTTAATTATTTTGCCATGGAGCTTTCAGTTTATGAGTTTGAATATCCATTTGGAATCTTCAGCCTCTCTTTTACATTAACAAATTAACATAAAACGGTTTTATAATATGAAAAAATAACACATATATTAATCCAAATAGATGCTTTTTAAAAAAGATAAGTAGTTTTATTCCTAGTGAACAAAATCCGTATAGAGTTTACAATAATTTTGATACTTAAATAACATCTATACAAATGTTCTTATAGACAACCAGGAGTCGCCATCAGGTCCTGGTCCAGCTGTAGGAGGAAGTATTAGTGGTGTCATTATAGTCATTACATTAGTTGTTCTTGCTGTTATTATTTACAGGTAAATTTTGTTTCCATGTAAAAGATAATAAATAAAACCTTCAAGTTTCTAACCTAAGACAAAGTGCCTTTATTTTCAACTGTAATCATAACATTTAAAAATCTGTTCTCTTAGTCCAGTCATTGTCGGGTGTAAGTTTAACTTAGATATTCTTACTTTTGTTTTGTTTTGTACCCAGTTTGGTTTTATGTTTTTGTTTAATTCTTTTAATAACTGCTGTGTTTGTTTGCTTTCCTTTAGTTGATAATTTATTTGTGTGGACCTGCAAACAATGTTAAATGTTTACAAATATGAGATGTAGATGTGTCGATTTTTATGCACAAACTTATCTGTTTTTTCTTCGTTGCTGTGTCACTGGTTTCCGCCAATTTTTGCCATGTCACTATATTTTTGTAAACTTTCCTAATTTTGACAAATGACTATCAAAACTCTTTGATTATGATTAACTATTAGGAATAGTTGACTTCATTTCATAATTGTTAGTAAAATTAGTATTTTCAGTAATATGTACAGTTAAATATAACCTAAAACATTGTTCTTGTCTATTGTTGTTATCACGTTTAGCATCTAAACATGGACACGTTTATGAAATTGAAACATAATACATCATTACATGTTATGTTAAGTATTGTGTTGAAACGTTTATGATGGTGTTAAAACATCATTGCACTATGTTTTAATGATGAAAAGTAATAACTTTAGCTAGTAAAACATGTTTAAATGCTAAACGTGTTTAACACAATACATGTTCATGTTTATCGATGTTAAGGATTTGAACGTATACTAAATCATTTAAAGGTCTAAACGAGATACAAAAGTGTTCTAATTTTAAACATGCTCAACACTATTTTTGCAATGTATTTTTTGTTTCTACACTGTTCGTAAGCTTAAGGTTTTTTTTCGGGATTCCATTTTTGTACCCTTTCTTCGCTCAGATAGATTTAAGCTGATCAAGTAGATGTTGCCAGTTTAATTCACACAAGATCACTTGAACATTTGAATCGACCTATAAAAATAAAATTGTTTACGGTATTCGTATGAATGTGATATTGATGATTACAACACATCGCTTACACTAACAGTTCGCAATATTGAAACAAGACGATATTTATGAAAAGTGATTTGAAATGGGTATTTTTCAGCAGTCAACATTTTAAAACCTGCATGCTCATGAATCAATAACTTTTCGATTGGTGATTTGTTTTAGCTTTTTTACTTTACAACGAGTATCATAGAAATAATACAGTATCATTATACAGTTATATTTGATAAAGATTTGTATGACCATATTGATATAGTTGCTTTAATTGTTTTTAGACGGAGGTCAACTTCACAAAATGATAAATATTTAAGTGATAATGAAGCACTTAATAAACAAGCAGAGGGAAACACGTATTTCAGTGAGTAGAAATTTTTTGAATAATATATCGTTGTATTCAAATAGTTGAATTATTTTTTGGACTGTCATGATATATTTAAAAGCATATTTATAATATATGTTCCTCTTCTAACGAATCATCGTTTTATGGCATTTATATGAATCCTTTATTTCCTTTAAAGATGAAACTAGATAAATACGCGCGTATTCAAACATATTCAGTCCTGTAAGATTCAATTGAATTGATTCGAAATAGTTATAGTAGAAATTCACGAAAGTATTATGTATTTCCTATTTTAAGATCATGAGATCATTCAAAATAAGGAGGAAGGATATGCAAATATGAGTTGTGAAACATCTGTCGATGATGTTCAAATATCTTTGCCTGGCACAAAAGCAGGTAAAGTCAGATATAATGAAGAAAATGATCAATTGCCAGAAGAGGAGGAATACAATGAAGGAGATGAAGGAGATTTGTATACTAATATAGCTGCTGAACAAACTAAACACAAAATATCAATATCAGACCTGAAGAAAGTTATAAACGAGAAAAGAAAAGACGAAGGTTTTCATAATGAATACAAGGTAGTTATTTAGTAGAGGATGGATAAGAAGTAGTGGATTCGTAAACAATAATCAACGAGCGAGTTGATTATCTTTTCCAATTTCTTTACTTTTTTTAAAATTGTATAACTTTTCCATTTCGGGTAAAACTACAATCTATTTTAAGTTTTGTTGATATATCACGGGAATCAACTCAAGATAATTTAACTATTTATCAATGTATTGCTTTATCTCGAAAGTGATTGTATCCATACAGTTCACTTTTATATTGAGGCCTCCAACTATTTATAGAAAGTGAAATATCACTTATATGTTAAGTTAACGTAGGTGATCCGTGGATTCTTGTAAAACAAATCTACAGCTACATGAGTTAGAACAATAGACTTTTCTCAAAGAACTGAATAATTTATCGACGTATTTACAAATTGAAAAATCACATAAAACAGGTTCATAAATACTAGGGGCTGAATCCTCGCTTTTAGAGTGTTAGAAATTATAGTTAGGGAGAATATGTACTTGTTGGGGAACTACGAGTAATTATGTATTGATACCAAAAGTCATCTGCTAGCAGAATGGCTACACACTGCATCTCCGTAAGTAGTTTGCAAATAAGCTGGAAATTTTAACGGAAAAGTATTGTGGGGTTAGACATAGTGTGAAAAGTGCATTGCCTGTTTTACAGACCATCTAACGGAGTCCGACTGAAATCAGTTTGGAAAAGATATTCTATTCTGAGTAACCTTCAAGTATTGGTATATTTTCAATGCAACACTTATTGAGAAATATTTTGTTTTTAACAATTACTAAATATTTATGAAAGTTAGCAAATGCTTATATATTATTTTAGTGTTTCAATCTAAATTATTCCAGATTTTTCCAAAAGGGCTTGTTCGTGCACATGAGGAAGGTTCAAAAGAGGAAAACAAACTTAGAAATCGTTTCCTGAAAACTTGGCCATGTATGTATTAGTATTGAGTATTGTTATCTGTACCTAAAGTACATGTAACCATCGGCAATGTACAGTAGAACATGATTTGATCTAGTACTAACATTGCTATAAAATGACAAAAGATGCAGGCATTTTTCGACGTGGTAAAATAAAGATCTGTTTTCGGTTCAGCTGTGAATACTTTTACATATCTTTGCATTTTTTAGGAAATTATCAGAATTATGGCTACTGCATTTTACGCAGTATCGGTTTATGAAACAAAATGCAAGGATAATTGAAAAAGCTCCTCTTGCTATTTGTGTTTGGGAATTATGCTGTCTTCACGTCAAAGTATTATTGTTTATTGTTCTTAATGTACCTTGAGGTATCGTTTTTGTAGTGCATTATTTCAGAGGATGTATATTTTTTATCAAGAAAAGGGAAAGAAGGTAGACAAAAATAAGTGTACAAAAAAAAACCCTATTCGTAATTTATAAAATAGCACTGCTTTAAAATGACAATAAAAAAACTTGATTAAATATGCATGACAAAAGAATCAAATGTCGTTATAAATCTGCATTACTTTACAAAATCAGTTTAAATGAGTTTGAGTTACTCGTTTAAAAACATTAACATAATACATGTCTATATATAATGATTCAAAAGTGTTTTATCAATTTCTTTCAGATGACCATTCACGGATTATCTTGACTGGAAATACCAAGCATGATTATATAAACGCTAGTTATATTGACGTAAGATATACACGTTTATTGTTTTATAGTAACTTGTATTGTATAATACAAATCAAACACTGTGAATACATAAAACGAGACCTTGCCTCTGTTAAAAGTAACACACAATGTTCAAAACTCGTGATATTATATTAGTCACACCAGATACACTCATCGTTGACACCTTTTACGTATAAACATATTTAAATGAGTATGAATAAAACATATTTTATATGGACGATTGTAGTAATACTTAACTCGTTTCCTTTCAGAGTTATGACAAAGAAAGGGCATACATAGCATCACAAGGTTTGTAAAAGTAATTTTTATTTGGCAAATAATTTTTTGTCTAATGTAAGTCAGACCATTCCATTGTAATGAAACTTAAAGTAGAACATTAAAGTCGATAGTAAAATTCATCAACCACAATTCGTTAACCACACCGATAAAAGAATGTTACTTATTGCCATCGCCAGTTGAAAATGCCTGTACCGAGTCAGGAATATGACGGTTGTTTTCCATTCGTTTAATGAGTGTGAGCTTTTTATTTTGCTATTTGATAAGGGACTTCCCGTTTTGAATTTTCCTTGGACTTCGGTATATTTGTTATTTTTCTTTTTGGTTTATTATTATTTATATTTTATTAATATTTTGTTTTAATAATAAAATTGAGAATGGAAATGGGAAATGTGTCAAAGAGACCACAACCCGACCGAAGAGTAGAAAACAACCCAAGGCCACCAATGGGTCTTCAACACAGCTAGAAAATCCCGCACCAGGAGGCGGGCTTCAGCTGTCCCCTTAACAAAAATGTGTACTAATATCTATATCATTAACGGAAAGCTTAATACTAAAATATATGATAAAAGAGATGATTTTTCATTTCCTATCGTTAATTATCCATTTTTAGATGGTGACGTTCCCTTGACACCATCTTACGGTGTTTATATATCTCAACTTGTACGATTCGCTCGTGTATGTAACAATGTTTTAGATTTTAACGAGAGAAATTTATGTATTACTGAAAGGTTATTACACCAGGGTTTTCGATATCACAAACTAGTCAAAACATTTACTAAATTTTATCATCGGTATAAGGACATCATTCGTAAATATAGCTCAACATGAAGACTTCTTATACGTTCAGGTATTTCACATCCAATTTGTTATGGAAATATTCTTTATAAAGCACAAAAATGTCGGTATTCACCTCTGAAGCTAACAAAACCTTTAAATAGACTTATTAAGAAGGGATATAGTTACGATACTGTTGTCAGGTCATTAAAGATTGCATATTTTGGCGTTAATATTGATTCACTTATAGGGTCTTTGCATCGGCACGAAACACATTTTTTTAAAAACCAGTTGTTGGCATGACACGGGTTATGTTCTTCTCATATATGTTATGATGGTATGATACTAAACCCCTAACGGGAAGGATTGTGCCTGATATTCATATGATGAAGACATCATCTTTCAATCAGTTTAATTGAAGTCTGGAGCTGGCATGTCAGTTAACTGCTAGTAGTCTGTTGTTATTTATGTATTATTGTCATTTTGTTTATTTTCTTTGGTTACATCTTCTGACATCAGACTCGGACTTCTCTTGAACTGAATTTTTATGTGCGTATTGTTATGCGTTTACTTTTCTACATTGGCTAGAGGTATAGGGGGAGGGTTGAGATCTCTAGCCTCTAGCCTTTGTCAGTCTTGTATTATTTTTAATTTTAGTTTCTTGTGTACAATTTGGAGTTTAGTATGGCGTTGATTATCACTGAACTAGTATATATATTTGTTTAGGGGCCAGCTGAAGGAAGCCTCCGGGTGCGGGAATTTCTCGCTGCATTGAAGACCTGTTGGTGACCTTCTGCTGTTGTCTGTTCTATGGTCGGGTTGTTGTCTCTTTGACACATTCCCCATTTCCATTCTCAATTTAGTTCAGTGAAAATGGACGTCACACTAAACTCTGAAACTTATAAATAAACTAAAATTAAAAGAACATACAAGACTAACAAAGGCAAGAGGCTTCTGACTTGGGACAGGCGCAAAAACAAACACACAGCAATACGCACAGTAAAACTCAGTTTAAACGAAGTCCGAGTCCGGTGTCAGAATAGGTAACAGAAGAAACTAAGCAAAGTGACAATGATACATAAATTAACAAACGAGTACCAGCAGTTACTGACATGCCAGCTTCAGACCTCAATTAAACTGATTGAAAGATTATGTCTTCATCATATGAAAATCAATCACTTTCACTCCCGTTAGGGGTTTAGTAAAATATATGAGAAGAACATAACCTGTATCATGCCAATAACTGGTTTTAGAATAAATATGTTTATTTCCGATGCAAAGACCTTATTTGTGAATCAATGCAATATTAATTCCAAAATATGTCATCTCTAATGACCTGACAACAGTATCGTAACTATATTCCTTCTGAATAAGTCTGTTTCAAGGTTTGGTTAGCTTTTGAGGTGAGTGACCACATGTTTGTGCTTTTTAAAGAATATTATCATAAAAGATTGGATTTGAAATACCTGAACGTATAAGATGTCTGCATGTTGATTTATATATACGAATGATGTTCTTTTACCGATGATAAAATTTAGTAAATGTTTTGACTAATTTGTGATATCGAAAACCCTGGTGTAATAATTTTTCAGTAAAACAGAGATTTCTTTCGTTAAAATCAAATACGTTGTTACATATACGTGCGAATCGAACAAATTGAGATATTTAAACATCATAAGGGAACGTCACCATCTAAAAATGGATAATTAACAATAGGAAATGAAGACAAATTATCTCTTTAATCGTAAATTTTGGTATTAAGCTTCCCGTTAAAGATATAGATATCAAGATCCAGGAAAAGGCAGTGTTCATTGTTAGTATTAGCTTTTTTTAAAGTCAATTCAGCAGGATAAATCGCTTTAGTGCATACTGACGTCGTCATAATTGAGAGCCAATATATCATCCAAATATCTAAAAGTGTTATTACATTTTTATATCAGACGTTCTTTCAATGGGTCTTTGCTGGTTTTAGTCTAGTACAGATAATCGTATATACTATCATGTCAGTATTTGTATAATATTCTGTTTTGTACTTATAGGTCCTAAAAAGAATACTCTAAGAGATTTCTGGCACATGATCTGGCAGGAGAAAGTTGGCAAAATAGTAATGGTAACGAAACTAGAAGAGGAAAGAAGGGTATATAAGTATTTACTTAATTCTGATTTCAGTTTTATATTTTGATAATGTATCTATCAATTTGCATAGGCCAACCATTTTTGACTTATATAAATATATATATATATAATTAGTCTAAACAACAGCCCAACACTGTTATATATATATATATATATATATATATATATATATATAAGTCTAAATTGAAAACAACGTTCAAACCTATGATTGCGTTGGATAAAAACCGCAATTTTTATACGTGTGCATGCAAAACAAATTTCTTTGTAGAGGGGTCTAAATACAGCACAAACAACATTTTCCAAAAGACCAAAAAAGTGAAAAAGTATATTTTAACAAAACGCATTTGACTAGCAGGTCGAACAACGGATGTTCTTAAACCCTGCTGACTGCCATGGCGATTGCGAAATAAACGGATCACAGATGTAACACAATGGATCTTAATTATATTAATTTAATACCAAACAGAAAACAATAAACTTGCGGAAAAGATGGTATACCGCAAACATGAGGTGTGTATATATATATATATACAAGTCTAAATTGAAAACAACGTTCAAACCTATGATTGCGTTGGATAAAAATCGAAATTTGTATACGTGTGCATGCGCAAAACAAATTTTTCGGTAAAGGGGTCTAAATACAGCACAAACAACATTTTCCAAAAGACCAAAATAGTGGAGAAGTATATTTTAACAAAACGCATTTGACTAGCAGGTCGGACAACAAATGTTCTTAAACCCTGCTGTCTGCCATTGGCGATTGCCAAATAAACGGATCACAAGATGTAACATAATGGATCTGAATTATTGATTTAATACCAAACAGAAAACAATAAACTTACGGAAAAGATGGTATACCGCAAACAAAAGGTGCAAATTTAGTGGACCATATCCGAATTTCGACAATTAATGTCTCTTTAATGATGTTAGGAATCGAAACGGTATTTGGAAGGCCATATAATTTACCTCAATTTAGGATAGACTCTTGAATTTTAAAGAGTCGAAATAGGATGAACGGATCATATAAACCCGAAGGAAAATATAATACAAGCTCAAACGAAAAAATATAAACAAGTCTAAAATGAAAACAACGTTCAAACCTATGATTGCGTTGGATAAAAACCGCAATTTTTATACGTGTGCATGCAAAACAAATTTTTGGTAGAGGGCTCTAAATACAACACAAACATAAAATATATATATTTTTTATCTCTTTAGGAATTATGATTGGCGCAGGGTAAAATGCAATGAGATAGCAACCCAACGAGAAAAAAATTGAGGTCAACATAGGTCCATGGAATAATGATAATCATTTTTTCAAAATTTTTTCGAAAGTTTATACTAATATATTATAAATGATACTGTAACATCAGGTATAAACTATATGTGTTTATTGTATTTGAAGAAAATATCAAGTGGCAACCCAAAACCAGAGGTCGAAGAAATACAAACCACCATATTCAACAGAAAAACGAGGAAAGCCAAATAATACTTCCAAAAATACTACACAAAAAATGAATATAACATGTTAATTTTATTACCAGATCTAGTCATGTGTTTTATAATATTACCTCATTTAGTGCAGAGATTGTATGTTAACAGACAAACACATATACCCAGTTTGTATTGCGTTCGGTGGTTGTGAGCATGTATCTCTATGTTTATACATTTACGTTGATCTAAAGTCATCTAGCGATGTTGTCATTAGCATTAACTAACGTAGTCATCACGGTGCGACAACGTTTGATTATTTGTTGGGTCATCACTCTACATATAGTACTGACATTCAGACAGATTGTACATATTAGATAAGAGTAAATGATGGATAATGAATCTGTTAAGTGCGTCTGTCTGAAGGCATAGGTTTACGTACATGTATGAGAAGATTACATGTATTACGACATATACAATAAATGGGTCATAATACATATCATAGATATTTTCATGTGTCGTTTACCTTGGAATTTCAAAATTTCAGAAAAAATGTGAACAATACTGGCCTCAAAACGTCAACAGGGCAATGCTTGTAGACAATTATAAACTAACAATGAGAGAAGAGATCCAGTACACAGTTTATGTGTATAGACTGATTATACTACACAATAAAACGGTAACTCAATATATATATTAAGACCTGTTAACTTCAAAATAGTGTTAGTGTAAATGAAGAATGTCTTTTCATTCCAACTTCAAAAGCCAGTAAAGATTTACTGTACAGAGTATATCAAACGAATTGTACAAATCCATGATTTAATTCAACGTTTAATATGAATTGCCAAATAATAATAGCAGATATTGAGTAAAATTGATTACGGTTAAATTTCGGTGAGGAGATTAGGCGCTCGATAATATTATGCATATTTTTCTGATAACAGTAACCATTCTTGAGCAGTTTATGTGATAGTAAACGTATCCTCTTATGAAGGTACCTATAATCGCGAAAACTATATTGAAGGCAAAGATAACCTCACATTGATCTGTTTTGTTTCCTGTGTCCTAGAAGACGACAAAATACTTGTTAATATAAATGCTTTTAGATTAGAAATTCAAATAATGAAATGCAACAATAAAATACTTCAAATTGACTTTGTATAGTAATATCTTTACGAGCACTATTTTAGTAAAGTTCCGAAGAAGTAACCATTCGTACATTATATTATGAGTATGACTGATGCATTAATACAAATGAAATGTAAAAATCACTTCATATGATAACAAACCGATAAATAAATTGCTGCTTTAGTTTGAATATAAAAGTAAATCACATTCAATAGAAAATAAATATTGAATTATGTATAAAGTACCCAATATTGTACATGTTGTATTACACAAAACTTCTTGAGATAATGTAATTCTTTGTATTCAAAGAATCAACAGGAACGGACAGTTCGGCAATTCCATTTTACACAGTGGCCGGATCATGGTGTTCCAGATAGCATTAAACTAGTAAAATTTTACAGAAAAGTTAGAAGTGAAAAATGTGATAAGAGTGGACCAACGGTGGTGCACTGCAGGTGCGTGTTTTCTACTAACATAATGTAATGTTGTGCACGTGATTAACATTATTACAACTCATACCTAATGTAATAATACATTAAATCTGAGAGTATATGGTAATTTCTTGAATAAACAGTATGGAGCTATTGGTCTAAATGATCTCAGCGAAAACATATTTTTGATAAAAATTTGTCATTTATGAATACCAATATAAAAAAGTAAGAAGTATACACAGCCAAGTAATAAAAAATCGAATCGGAGATATGAGCGGTTGTCTTATTTGTATATACATACTTGTGCATTTGCCTTAATTAAAATACTATGATTCAAAATTGTATTTACATGCTGAGAGGCAGACGAATATGTATATGAAAAACTTACATATACTTAGTAATTATTGGATATAAATTGTATATTTGAAAATATAGAAATTTACAAAAAAAAAATGTGGATGAATAAAAATGATTAGAAAAAAAAAACATTACCATTGGCATGACGCGATTTAAATTCATGTGTATTATAGAGCAAGGCAGTAAAATATTATTGAGAAAATACGCGTTATATTGTACATCATCTTGTCCAAATAGTTAAGTCTATATGCCTCTCGTATGTCCTTTCGATTTTTCCATTCTGTATCCTTCAGATCATTCCCACATCATCTCATTTAAAACGTATATCAAATGGAGATTAAGGTATTACTGATGTACTTTCAGGACGTTTTATGGATTTAAAAAAATGTTGAGAATTGTTTCTCAAGCAATTGAAATAAAGATTCTCTTTGCAACAAGTCTGTTTAAAAAACATATATTGAAAACATCAGATTAAACTTGCATATCCTAAGGCTTCCAAAAGTCAAAAGATGTATGCTATTTTCTTGACTATCATAATTTACATCTAATATATATGTTTTAGTGCTGGTGTGGGAAGAACAGGTACATTCATAGCTGTGGATGCCCTTTATGAGCATGGTAAGAAGGTTGGTCACGTTGATATTATGGAGTATGTTCACATGATGCGGAAAGACAGAATGAATATGATTCAAACGCATGTATGTTACATTTTAACAGTACAACTATTAAGTAAATTTATTATTATACCAGTGCACAGTAAACGTTTGAACCATACCAACTGTCAATTCAAAGTCAATGGTAACTTAATTAATTACTTAATGTTGATAGCGCCCACTTTTATATAGTAATTGTTTATACGTGTAGATTCATCCCTGGAGTAAACGGTTTCAATATTTTGAACTACGTTTATATGTTTGTGCGTCCATTACTGGGAAATTAATATCATATCTATAATGTATATTTATATATAAAGTGAATATGGTTTCTGCAGTGTACAAACAATTTTGTTTTGGTTTGTAAAAATGTTAAAACGTTTATAAATAAATAAATATCATATTTTTCGAATTTTTCACACTTTTACAGCATCTTTTTCATTTTGTAGGAACAATATGAGATCGTTTTTGAAGCACTTCTGGAATTGTTCACTGTTCCTGATACGTCGATTCAAAAGAATGATTTCTGTGGATATATTGAGAAGCAACAAAACAAAACATTACCAAAAAACCAAACAATGTACAGTGAAGAGTTTCAGGTACCAAATATATTTTTCCCGATGTGTTCTACACAGAAAGGATGATAACATTATAATAAAAATTCAGATTGTAATATAAGAATATTTGTACCAAAACCTTCGCTTAAAATGTACCACTTTCTTTTGCACGTTTTTGTTGTTATTCAACACTGGACAGAAAAAACCCAACCTACAATGGTATTCAGAAGAACGTTAAACTTCATTATTTTTATTGCTGAAATAAGGTTTTAACAAAATAAAGTTTTGACATATTTACTTCGTGTCCATAACAAAAATTAAAGGAGCTTTAAATATGTGTCTAACTGCATTCCTTCTGCTACTTGTCCGCTATGATCTAATGGCAAGAAAAACAAACCAGATATATATCATGCCAAACTAAAAACCAATCTTGTTAATAGAATCAAGTGTTCTTAGAACTAGATGGTGTGCATTTTAATAAACTAGTTATATATTGTGTATCCCGTCCCATTGTATATAGTGTTGCTAATGCTTTGTGGTTTGGTTGTTGTAAGTTTTGCTTTTCATTTCAATATTTTTCAAAGTAATGTCAAAACGCAAGAACATAGAGCATTGTAATATCATTGGATTTCTACATATTGCTTTTGTTTTCCGTTTGGAAGAAAATGACAACAGTCCAGTTCAGTTGATTTAAAGTGTGTGGGTCAAACAATCATTGAACTTGATTTGGCAGAAGATTTTGGGTAAAAAAATAAACCAAAAGTTAGTTATAATGAAGTTATTAGTTTCACCGTCCAAAACAGATGAATAAGGGAGAACAATTTGGAGGAAAGTTGCCTTCTCAGAAGCATTCATCGCTGCCCGTCACCTCGTAATTTTCAATTTTCAAAAATCAGTAATACATCCTCAGGTAATGTACTTCATATAAAATTCACTGCCAGTCCTGTTTTATTTCTTACTGTTGGGCTGTAGTGGCTCGAATCCACATAGTCGTGGAACTTTTAGGAGGTTGTTTATTTTATTTACAAGTAAAATACGCGAGTGCACTGCCTGATATGAATGTAGTTTGTGTTGCCTATGCAAAATGTCATACAGTAAATTGCAATATTATTAAATTTACTAAGATACAACCATTTAGACTCTTTTCTTGCATATTTGGATGAATCACAATCTTGTTTGAATGACAGTAACCTTACTTCTGGCGAAAATCGATGCCACATTAGTGACATGTAGATGCTCAAATATCTGGGTTTTTTTTTTCTTGTTTGGTTTTAGGTTTAAAGTAAACTTACTTGCAATAGCCCAACAGCTTCTTATTTTTACATTGAATTCTAATTTTACCACTTTAGAGATTGCGAACATTGCGGCCATCATATTCTTCTAATAAGTTTACTGGTGCTAAAAGTAAAGAAAACCAATTAAAGAATTCTACAACTGTTCTCGCACGTAAGTAATTTTCAGTTTAAATTACATATTTCCATGAATGATTGATTCTCAAAGAGTGTGTAGTCGCAAACATAAAGTAATATGATATCGCAAAAACCAAATAAGCATTAATTACATTTCGTTATCAAAAAGGTCAGTAATGTGATGTTATCATGATCTACAAACATTACTATCTAACCAAATAACACCATTTATGAAAGAAATCACTTGATAATATGGACATCTGGTACATTGTATGCCTAAAATATGTATCATATTTTGTAACAAATAAAGTTTCATAATACAAAAAGACAAACGCAGACTATGAGTATTACACTCTGATATCTTACTTTAATAACGACGGGAATTAGGAAAATGTGAGTCGGAATAAAAGGATACAAAGAACAGAAACCGTAATCAAAGAAATGCGTACCAACATTTTGCTACACACCTAGAAATTCCCGGGCAGGTTTGATCGATTTGAAAACAGCTACTGCATGTACCAAATTACATCTGCCGAAAATAATGTTTAAAAACATAGAAATAAAGATTGAACATCCTGCATTATTTCATCTTAAATGAAAAGCAAAATAGATCATGCAAAAATTATCAAAAAAAAATCCTGATCTGTAATACGATGTTATTTCATGCGCTTTCGATTATCATCTATATTTATCGATATATATACATTTAAACTTCTGGATTCTAGGTAACTTCTTGTTGTTCCTAATTGACATTGTCAACACACTTTAAATATATGTCGAATATCAGTATGATAAAATATCAGTGACCTTCAAAAAAATCAAAACCAACCAATTTTATATTAGAAATGCTTCAACAATGCTTTCAAATCTGTTAGCGAATGTGACAAACTTTGTAAATCTGTGAGCGAATGAAAAACATTCACTCATGTCACTTGTGATGCAACAAATGCAAACAATTATTAAAATTGTGCTATTTGCAAATTATTTATTGCAGATGACCAATATAGACCTTACTTAATGTCTTACGGTAAAAACAGAAGTGACTACATCAATGCCGTGATAATTCCAGTGAGTAAATAGTTTTTTTCGAACAATTGAAAATCACTTTTGTGTTATTTCAAGTATCCTTAGGTACAGTTGTCTATTCAAAATTCAAAGAACACCACAAGTAGACCGAATACAGAGGTTTATATGTTAAACTTAGTACTGCCTACCCGGCTTTATGTTTCATCATGCATAAAGTACATGGTGATATACTAGTAGTCAATTGATCTTTCTTTTAATTATTTGAAAGCGGGAAAAGTAGTTTGTATTTATTTTTTAATTATTTGCAAGCGGAAAAAGTAGTTTGTATTTATTTCTAATGACATAGAGCAACTGTAACTTGCGAAATACCGGTGTTTTATTTAAGATGTTCATAATTCGTCTTCTAATAAAATATTTTTAATGGAAGAAAATGACATACACTCCATCATATAATTCACTTAATTGAAATAGTTATCCTGTAAACTATTGCATTTTCTAAGTAATAATATAGACATTTGTTACTTTAATTATTCTTCCCTTAGTTTATTTATTTTGTATTTACATTGTATCATAGATCAAATTTATTTGTTCATTGTATGTTCACTGGTGTTAATATGTCTTCTGATTGAGTTAAGCCATTTCAATTGATATTTTATAGTGTGTCTTTCTATGTTGTGATGTTACACTATTGTTTCAGATAAGCGTGAAGGTTTGGTACCATTAAAACGTTTAAACCCGCTGCAATTGCTGGCACCTGTCCTAAGTCAGGAATCTGAGGTTCAGTAGCTGTCGTTTGTTGATGTGGTTCATAAGTATTTCTCGTTTCTCGTTTTTTTATATAGATTAGACCGTTGGTTTTCCCGTTTGAATGGTTTTACACTAGTAATTTTTGGGGCCCTTTATAGATTGCTGTTCGGTGCTAGCCAAGGCTCCGTGTTGAAGAGACCTTACTTTGACCTATAATGGTTTACTTTTATAAATTTTGACTTGGATGGAGAGGTGTCTCATTGCCACTCATACAACATCTTCTTATATCTATTTGTTCGTACTATATGTCAAATGTTCAATTTTCAATCTCTTTATAAATGTTCATATACATAACTTTGAAAAACATATGATAAGGTATAATATTATGTTAAAAATTTAATAAATGGAGAATGTGTCTATGGGACACAGATGATGTCCCCGTTTGCATATAACGTTTAAAAGGGACATACCTCAAAAATAATAAAATTGACGCCACCCAAATCCAAATTTGATCTGAGTTTTGTGGTAATAAGTCTTGTGCATAGGTTGCATAACATTTGGTTGAAGCAAACTTAAGTTAGAGAACGGAAAGGAAAAATTCAACAATTTTTCCATTCGTAAAGGGGCATATCTCTAGAACAGTAAATGTGACGCCACCCAAATTCAAACTTGATCTGTGTATTGTAGTTATACGCATTGTGTATAAGTTTAATAACATTTGGTTGCGACAAACTTAAGTTAGAGAACGGAAACCAATTTCGGGACGTACGGACGGATGAACAGACGGACTAGGATAACACCTAATGCCCCCTCCGCTGCGGGTCGGGCATAAAGAACTGTGTTAATTTTTCATTTTCATTTCTTATTGCTTACCACAGTGCTATTCGGTAGATAGTAAAATGTTTGTTACACAGTGCCCACTTGTAGAAACTGTAATTGATTTTTGGACGATGATGTATGATCACAGTTCCAGAATTATTGTTTTGTTGGATCCCGGAAATAAGGTAAGAATTCGTCCTTTTACTTCAAAGTACATCAGGTAACTAGTAAATAGTAATTTTTAGATACTAACACTGGACACTTTTAATTTGCAAAACACTCATTTGCAAATCCGCCGCCGCCTCTCCTTAGAGCTACAGTGTCGTGTATATAACCAAAATGTGCGGAATTACATGGGTTTCAATAAATTCATTGCTTTTCTGCTGTTATTATAATTTATTTTTTGTAATTTGATTTAGAAAAACATGGGATTTTCAATATCCCATGGGATAAGGCAAATCCCATGGGATTTAACATTATCCCATGGGATATTTTTTGGTCCCATGGGATAATTGTAGTCCCATGGGATATTTGTTGGTAGTAAATTGTTTTAAGATGAATCTTTTTAGTTGAATATCTTTTTTTCCTTGGAAATGTTAATGCAATTATATTGTTCTATAACTGTTCAAAACTAAACTTTTAAACAACAAAGCAGATAATGTAAGTATCAATATATGTTTATTTATGAATTCTAGAATACTTTTTTGAAACACAATTTTTTCCCATTTGGAATCAATGAAAACTCTATTATTAAGCTTAACATACTAGTAGCTTTTTACATAAATCTAATTTTTTTTTCAGGATATCCCTCCACCCAAAAAATTAATAGTTTCTTATCATCCAGCATTGTGTGATCGTAATGTATAGTCCACTTTTTGGCCATTCAGCACAGAACATTGTCATTATTGTGGTTTTAATATCTTTAGATATTTAATAGAACTTCGATTCATTGACTGAGTGATGAAAATAATAACTGATCTGACTTTTGTCTTTGAATTTATTCTGGTCTTGTTTCTGTGTTTTCTCCTTTTATTCTAAGTGATGAATTTCAATCCTTCTGAAAAAGAACCAATAAAAATCAGAAGTTATAGATTATAATAAATTGTTTGCATACATGTAGCAATAACATATGATTTTCAATAAAAATAGCTATGGTGCATTGCGGTATGGATTTTACTGATTGTTGAAGGTTGTCCAGTGTCATCAGTTGCTAATCTCCTACATCCTTTGGTCTCTGGTGGAGAGTTGTCAAATTAGCAATATACCACATCTTCCTATTCTAATATTATATAACAATCAATTTATGTATTCTTCTTTATAACATTTGGGTTTTTTCCCCAGTTGTATATATATATATATATATATATATATATATATCGATGTTAAAACTTTAGGCAATTACAATAACATTCCATTTTTCACAAGAATTTGCAATATATTATACAAAACGCCAACAATAGAAACAGCACTTCTTTAAGCTTCTAAAGTTCTGAAAGAGTTCCACTTGTGTTTTATTTCAATGAGAAAATACCTTGAACTCTTTTGACATGTTGGAAATTATAACATTGATACAAAAAAATATATTGTTTTTTTGTGTTGTTCGGTTGCTGTCTCATTTTTATATATGGTTATACATGTACAAATATCCTAAATCTTCTTTTTGTTAATACTTAATTATTAATAGTAAAAATGAGATATTTTTTATTTTGATAATCTCAAAACATTATTATTTTATCAAATAACTTATTTCCAAGTTCACAAAACACCAATGTGTCAGATATTAATTTTAAGACATGTATAAACATGATCAACAAGCAGTTGACAGGATGTCATGCAAAAATCTCACTTATATTAAACTTTCACAAAAACTCCATACTCAGCGAGTACTATTAAAGTTCTTAGTACAGGACACCATGCCTGGCAAACACTAGCATGTGTCAATGTCTAGTCAATCATGTAATCAGGCTCAAAATCTTAGTTTAGCACTGAATTTAAAAGTTCACCACATAATGAACATGTGTATGAAATTCAACTTCATGGTAAGCTATGTACCTTAACCTAAACATTTAACCTAAGAATGTACTATAATTTCACATTATGACATTTCTATGTTCAGTGATCCATTAAATCAGGGTAAAAACAGTAAATGTGGTGTATAATGTATAAACAAGAGTGCACACGCTGAAATGTTGCGCATTCTTTACTAATCATTGATATCATGTTGATAGTCCTAAATATAAAGCTTTACTACAACTATCACATAAACTCAACATGATCCAAGAAAATGAATTCAAGGTCATATAAACCCGACAAGAAATACATGTACACCTTACAATCATTCAATATACTAAATACAGTTGACCTATTGCTTATAGTTTCTAAGAAGCAGACTTAACTAAGAAAACTAAACATTGACCAATGAAACATGGAAATGAGGTGAAGGTCAGATGAATCATGCCAGGCAAACATGTACAGCTTACAATCCTTCCATACAACACATATAGTTGACCTATTGCTTATAGATTAAGAAAAACAGACCAAAACATAAAAACTTAACACTAAGTAATGAACCGTGAAAATGAGGTCAAGGTCAAATAAAACCTGGGAGACTGACATGTTCATCATAAAATGTTTCCATACACCAAATATAGTTGACCTATTGCATTTAGTATTAGAAAAAAAGACCAAAACTCAAAAATTTAACATTGACTACTGAACCATGAAAATGAGGTGAAGGTCAGATGACACCTGCCAGCTAGACATGTACACCTTACAATCATTCCATACACCAAATATAGTAGACCTATTGCATACAGTATAAGGAAAACAGACCAAAACACAAAAAACTTAACTATAACCACTGAACCATGAAAATGAGGTCAAGGTCAGATGACACCTGCCAGTTGGTCATGTACACCTTACAGTCCTTCCATACACCGAATATACTAGACCTATTGCTTATAGTATCTGAGATATGGACTTGACCACCAAAACTTAACCTAAAATATAAAAAAGAAGATGTGGTATGATTGCCAATGAGACAACTCTTCACAAGAGACCAAATGACACAGAAATTAACAACTATAGGTCACTGTATGGCCTTCAACAATGAGCAAAGCCCAAACCGCACAGTCAGCTATAAAAGGCCCAGAAATGACAATGTAAAACAATTCAAACGAGAAAACTAACGGCAAAAAATGAACGAAAAACAAATATGTAACACATAAACAAACGACAACCACTGAGTTACAGGCTCCTGACTTGGGACAGGCACATACATACAGAATGTGGCGGGGTTAAACATGTTAGTGGGATCCCAACCCTCCCCCTAACCTGGGACAGTGGTGTAACAGTACAACATAAGAACGAACTATAAAAATCAGTCAAAAGAGGCTTTAAACTCATCAGATAGATAAAAATACAAATACTACAAATACAAGTGGACGTGGCCGGGTACTTGTACATCCAAACAACAAAAAGACACTTACAGATCTGAGAGTTCTCGCAGTTACTGACAGCTAGTTCAAAGCCACTAACAACTAATAAAAAAAATCATGCATCTAAGACTAAGTTCTTGTTCACTGATCCATGAAATGAGGTCTAGGTCAAGTGAAAACTCTCTGACGAGCATGAGGACCTTGCAAGGTACGAACATACCAAATTTAGTTATCCTATTACTCATAATAAGAGAGAAATTAACATTACAAAAAATCTGAACTTTTTTTTCAAGTAGTCACTGAACCATGAAAATGAGGTCATGGACAATGGACATGTGACAGACAGAATTCGTATCATGAGGCATCTATATACAAAGTATGAAGCATCCAGGTCTTCCACCTTCTAAAATATAAAGCTTTTAGGAAGTTAGCTAACGCCACCGCCATAGCCGCAGCGGGATCACTATCCCTATGTCGAGCTTTCTGCGACAAAAGTCGCAGGCTCGACAAAAATACATGAACATTTTAAAGTACATGTACTAAATTTTGAGTATATACATGTAAAACCACAAGTTACTAACTGAAGTTCATGGTGAACTGTAACCAAAAACTTTAAGTGAATACAATTTAGAGAAAGACAGATGAATGCGCAAACACTATCAAAACAGAGCATAAAACTTACCGAACAAGATGTTTTACATTTATTCTTCAGAAGCAGGAAAATTGAAGTGTTTCTTTTCTTTCTCTGCCCTCCATGGTATAAACTTCAAATTCATTCATGCAAATATATGAAAATCTGCAAAAGTAGGACCTTGTATCTCAGCTTATCCACATTTTGACTTTTGAACTGCATTGTTCTTTTCATCTTGCTGGCAACCTAAACATAAAAAAAAATGATAAACACATAATTCTGGATTAACTTCTTGTTTTATTTTTGTTGGTACAAACAAATTTTTCCAACTTTAAACGAAAACATCTTCACAAAAAAGGACGACATACACAAATGACATACTAACCTCCAAAATATTTAAACAAACCAAAATTATAATTGATTAAGATCTTGTCATAAATGTATAGCATGGATACCTCTTATTTTTGAAGACCTAGGTCTATTGCATACTTATATTCCTTTGTACAAGAGTATGCATATTAATATTAAAGATTGATTCTGTCAGAATCTGAGGACTTTAAAATCAAAATTCATTATCCCCTGAATTCATTACACTATACAATGCCATACATGCCATAAGGCTACTCCAAGTTGTATGCCAATCTTTAACATGTTTAATTAGCATGATTAATTTAAGTTTCATAACTCCATGTGTACACTTTGAGAATCTTACAATACTTTTTATTCTGATTTTCAGAACTTATTGTGAGGTTTTTATTAATGCGACTGAGAGCTGTATTGCATTCTTTTATCTGATACATATTTATGAGCTGAAGACCACCTCGGGGTGCGTGATTTTCTCACCGCGTTGAAGACCAGTTAGTGGCCTTCGGCTGTTGTCTGCTCTTTGGTTGGGTTGTTGTCTCTTTGACATATTCCCCATTTCCGTTTTCAATTTTATGTATGCAGATTTTTCTTAAATCACAATAATCAATCTCACATTTTTGTCCATTATTCAAAATTAGCAAAAATAAATGCACACAAAAATTAACATTGTTAAAGCTTTTTTTTAAATTCAAAACAGTTGCCCAAAACCATTAAATTCCTTTTTTGATTTATTTTATATTATTCAAAGCCT